CTTAGAGGCGGAGCAATTCGCCCTCAATGGTTTTGTTAATTTTTGACCGTTGAAGGAAACCGCCAACCGCAGTATTATGCATACTACTCACAAATGTGAGTAGTATCTCACAACAGTAATACCATTTCATACTTGATTGGAGTCGATATTATTCTTTCGACAACCAGAGCTCATTCAAAGTACCAAAGTGACCTTGTTTGGACGGCAGCCTTTTCAACCACCCGAAACGTAAGAACAATTAGAAAACAAAAACGAGTGAAGAAAAAAAAAACAATAAATCGTAAGTGTTGTGCAGTCTAAACCTGGCTAACTATTCGGTACAATAAGACGTTTTGAAAACATTGTCGTCTCCCTTGGAGATTTCGCAAAGCTTTTGAAACGAAAAGGCTGCTCTTGTAAAATCAAATCACTAATTTGAAAAATTTTTTACTTGCTCAATCGTTGCACGATCGAAGAAGCGAAGTGGATCAAGCTGTGGTGTGTGGGCCCGGCAGAAAAGGATAACCCACTTCCGGAAAATACACATCTAGTTTCATTTATCCTTCATTTAAATGAGAGCTTTCCAATATTTTTGTGCCTTCTGTTAATAATAATGATAATAATAATAACAACAATAACAACAATAACAATAATCCACGTGCTTCACCTCGTCATCCTCGTCACGATCATCCCATGGTTTACGTGTGGGAACGAGCTGACTTTCTGCAAGCACACTGACCTCGTGTACCGTTTCCAATGGGCCTTTGCTCATCTCCACCGATTTCGTCGTACTGTTTTCCGCTAACCTGTCCGGGTGCATTCGAGTCGGATCGTCAACATCTGCGCTGACCAATGCCGCTGTGTTAGCAATAACTAGAGTGTCCGATTCTAGAGTGGGGAAAACATGATACACCGGGATGGGGTGAAACATTGTCACAAGGTGTGTAGATGCTCGCACAATAAGTTACCGGTTTCCAAAAAATATCACTCACATTGGTGATTACGGTCATTTTGCGCTTGTTCGTTAGTTTTTAACTTGGGCGTTCATATTTGAATAATCCCGTTGGAAAAACTGCTTATTAGGAGAAAAGCTTTTCTGTTTTTCTCTTACAACCTTTAAACTAGAAAAATGTTTATTTATTCAATTTCAACACGTCATGCATTAGATAGAGCTGGTAAATGTGCCACAACATATAAAGCAAAAAGCAGTGGAATGTATTCATAGGTTGCGTGGGTATTTCAGTACATTCACAATGCCACTACCCGGTTGCTCTGACTCCGGAGGAGGGATAACTTCGGGGTCCCCATAAGAAACCAGACCTGCAAAATAGCAGGATGGAGCTCAGAGCACACAGTCCATTGGATACCGGTGCCCGGTTCATCGGTTCGTGCGCCCTTTGGACGAAGTGAAACATTCAAGATGCCCAAATTACTTTTTATCCGCTTAGTTCGATGGAAAAGCACCTTCGCCACTGGAAGGCAGCGAGTAGAGCTTCCACAGCAGAAGCTATTGGAAATGATTGGTCATACAAGAGTATTTCGCGAGGTCTACGGGAAAAATGATCAGTCACAACCCGAGACTTCCTCCCCCCACCATGAGAGATGACAAATGTGTACGCTAAGATAGCTATTGGTTGAGTACAGAACAATTNGGGGGGGGGGGGGGGTTGATACACATGTGCATGTATGTTGATGCGAAAATGTTAGCCATTGAAGGATTATGAAAACACAGGCTAGAAAACAAGCGCGATTTTAGTTCGTTATCAACCGGGTAAATAGAGATGATTATCGATTGGACCATAAACTAAAAACCACTCACTCACCACCACTCACGCTTCACACACAAACAGATACACCATGCATATATGAATAAACACTATTACAACATTCAGTTTTAAAAATCTTCACTCCATCTCAAGCATATGTCTTCTCTCACCTAATGTTTGCTCTATCATAAAAAGAAGCACTGAAGGAAACCGGTTTGTTTACTACCTTGTGTTCGCACGGTTGGTTTCTCACTTGATGTGAACATTCGCGTCTTTTCTGTCCACAGATTTGTCCTGTCACAAGAATAAGGACTACATGTGGACACTGGACATGGCTAAGATGATCGTCATTCTCTTACCCGATCAAAACCTGCCCACCCCACCCCAAGACGGGTTGACTCGTTCGATTCTGGTCGAGTCTGCATAGCGTCACAGAACATGCCACTTAACTCAAGTGATGAAGAGTAATACGAGTAATACGGAGACAGAATGGTAAAAAAGATCTATTTTTCGGTATTTACGAGGGGGAGGAAGAGGAGATTCCACAGCTTATCGACTCCCATAAATACAATCTTGAGGACTCAGGATTTGATATCAGTGTAAATCAGTTGGACTGCTTTTTCTATTTAGAATTGAAATACAGTTCCAAAACAACAACTATCGGGTACCGGAGAATATCTGTCTGTTACAATCGCCAAACATCTTATGACAACTGGAAACATTGTTGACCCACACTTGTCGTTAAAACCGGTATTACTTAACACGAATCCCAGTATCTGAGCGTTTAGTGAGATGATGCTAATTAAGTTACATATCCCAGTTTTGTGTGCACAAAAGTTTCGGACATTATCAACTAGACTGCCGTGGAGCTGATTTTCCCCGCCCTTTACCCATTTATCAAAACTTGCCTGTATAAATACCAGATTGTCTTATATTGTAGCGAATGAGGTGATTAAAATAAATATTAATCTCTCGCAGTATTTGTCTTCCCTCAGCTGCTCACTAGGCTGATATCTCATGCATTCCACTGAGCCACTGGATCGTAGTTCTTCCCCGGGAAATCTGTTTCTATTCTGTCCGAAATGATATCATTTCGGTTTTGTTCTCAGGAACATGCCATCAGGGTTCTTCTCCTTCTCAGATCACTGTTCAGGTCCTGCGATCCCGGTACGGAGTCCATTTGATCGAATAATTTTAAAAATCTAGCACAAAGAATCGGGCATAGTTCCGTGTGGGCAAAAAAACGCAGCACACGGAATGGTCGAAGGGGAAATGAAATCGGTCATCAATTTGGCGTGCTACGTATCCACTGACAGTACATTGTTTTTGTTGTACTGTATGACTTTTCAAACATTGAAGCTTACGTTTCAGTTAAAAAATAAACACATCAACCATCACACAGAACATACTCAACGAAGAGCAAATGTTAAATGACATGGAGATATTTTATAATCAAAGGTGAAGACAAAGTTCATTTGTTACTCTTTCTTTTTTAGTGAGCTAACATGCAAGATGAGGTATAGATGAATTTTGGTAGGCGTTTATTCGAGATGAAACTTGACGGGATTAGGAGCGTGTTGAATGATGGGAACGGCAAGATGTCGAGTCTGCGTGCAATGGGTGGTCAGGATCTGTGGGAATCCTCTCAGCAAATTCCACACAGCAAGTTACGTAATACTCTGAAAGCTTTAAAGCAAACTCATTCTCAGGAATAGAAGAGTCACGGCTAATAATAGTTAGACCGCGGCGTAAGACTTTGAAATCCTGTTTGAGTAAGCCAGGATAAATTACTGGGGAATAGTAGAGTAGGATGGGGAAACCACACTAATAAACAAAGATAGAAATAACTGTCTGGGATGAGCGCAACTGCGTGAGCTTTCGTATTTGAAATGATAGGCGCCGCAGTTTAACAATGCAGTTGTGGATACGGGTTGACCAATGAAGATTGCTACTCACAGTTACACCAAGATATTTGACAGAGTTCACCCTGGATAAAGGATTGTTAT